TCACCCACCACACCTCTGGCTGACACCCTAGTTCTTGTATGCATAAATAAATAAATCTTTTTTTTAAAAAATTCCATTTGACTGGTATAAGATTAGCTCTTGACACTACAGGATCCTCCGGAAAGGGTGGCCTCACAGGAAGACCCGCCTCATGGGAGGGGCTGTGAGGTCTGGCTCCCTGAGCACCTGCTGTAAGCTCTGCCTGTGCACATCCCTTCATGCCCAACTCAGCCATGGGCTCCAGAATCTTCCGCTGGGTGGTCATCTGGCTCCTGGGGGCAGGTGAGTTCAGCATCACTAGGCTTTGTCTGCGGCTCTATAAGTGCACCTCAAATAAGTCCTGGACCTCATGTGGCCCAATGATCTCCTGAAATGTATTGACATTTCATTCATTTGTGGAAACAAATAATCCCATCCCCAGTGAAGAGCAAAATTCATGTGAATTTTTAATGAACATGGATGATGGCAAAGATATCGGAGTTCCCTTGGGTGGCTTCTTAGTAAGGCTCTCCCTTCCTCTCATGCAATCTCTTCTCCTCGGAGGTCCCATGAAGGCTGACGTCACCCAACGCCCAAGACACCTGATCAAGGGGACAGGACAGGAGGTGGCCATGACATGCGACCCAATGCAAGGACACAATTATGTTTACTGGTATCAACAGTTGCCGGAGGAAGGTCTGAAGTTTATGGTTTACCTTGGAAGAGGAAGGACCATAGATGAGTCAGGATTGCCAAAAAATCGTTCTTCTGCTAAATTGCCCCAAAATGGACCCAGTACATTCACGCTCCAGCAAGCAAAGCGCGGGGACTCTGGCTTGTACCTCTGTGCCAGCTCCTTAGCCACAGCCATGCAGAGTCACATCCTCCCCAGGCAGAAACCCCTCCCGCCCCGCCCCAGGCAGCAGAGGGGCAAACACATTTGTGCAGAGAACAAATCAGCTGCAGGCACTGGGTGGGGTGAGCAGGGAACAAGTGGGGGATGGTAGAAATATTAAGAAACACGCCAGCCCACTCTCGGCAACTAAGGCTCTGTTACTGGAGGAAAGTGCGGATTGTCAAAATTAGATGAAACTTCTCAGGTTAAATATTTATTTGCTAACTAAGTTCTTTCTTTTATTCCAAAGTCCATTTCAAGTTCCCTATTGTCTGCTTGACATATGTCATTTTATTTAACCACCAAGACAAGCACGTGAAGGACACTTTTCTTCACTTATAAATGGGAAAATGGGGTTCTGTTCCAGCAAGTGACCTCAAGCCAGCAGCCGTGGATAGCACAGGTCACCTTGAGAAGGCCAAGAATGAAGAAAAAATGGCAAACACAGAGAGAGATGGAGGTAGGAATTAGACCCAGGGAAAAAAATTTATAAAAAACAAAATGTTATAAGGAATGAAGAATAAATTAAAAGACCTTAAGGAAAAATAATGAAAGTGGAAAGCTAGGAAGGACATTGAGAAAGGCAGGGGAACCCCCAAGAGAATGAGAATGAGAGGATGGACTCAAACCTACCTGTGGAAGGTAGAGCAGGAGGTCCTGGTGAGGCAGGTGGACGCGGGACCTTGGGCTCCAGGCAGGCTGAGGGGCCTCCAGCCCTATCCCCACCCCAGGAGACACCCCAGGGCTGACTCTGTGAGAGAACTGATAAGCTCCACAAGAATTCTAGGTTCTTAGAATACCAGCGCCACGTTTCTGACTAGTAACCAAAACCAACCATTTCCAGGAACAAGACATTGAATTGACACAGGTGGGCAGGTACCCCCCTCCAGGGAGGCGGGGCTTCAGGAGGAAGGCACAGGGCAGTGGGGTGGGGCAGTGGCATGGAGGGTGTGCCACAGACAGGTCTCCGGTATCAACCTCAAGTTCAAAAGTAGGAAGCCCTCCTGAGTATCTCCAGGGTCTGTTCCAACTCTCCATGCCACCTCTGACAAGTGGCACATAGCACCCCAGGTGGTCCCAGAGCTACATTTTATCTTATTTCTCCTTCCCATGGGCTTAGGCTACAAGGAGATGTCCTCATCTCCCTGCAACCAGGTGATCTGCTGTGTGGCCCCTGGCCTCCTCCGGGTAGTGTGTCCTGCTCCAGGGGCACAATCCTGTCCCTGGGGGCCAGCTCCTGATCCCAGCTGTGTCTGGGAGAGTGCTGAGCACCTCCCTCTCCCGCCACAGGCCCAGTGGAGGGCGGCTCCACTCAGACCCCCAAATACCAGCTCAGAGGGGAAGGATAAGCTGAGACATTTCAGCTGGACAGAATTTTGATGACCAGGCATGGACTGGTACCACCGGGACGGGAGATCATAAAATTGACAATAACTCTCCTATTGCATAAAATAAAACATTGGATGAAACACATTTTACTTTATCACTGAAAGCATTTCAGAACCCCAAGTTTGCTGTTGTGGATGCTTTGTCCCCTGAGACATGTGGGGTCCCTGACCACCACACACCAGCTCAGCTCCAGGCTCTGTTCTGGATCCTTCCTGAATTCTGTGTGGCTCCTGCTTTCTCCTCCCACAGGTTCAGTGGAAACTGATTCATTGGCAACGACCCCACCAGGGGGCAGGACAGAGCAGCTGAGGCTCTGGAGCACCCCTCCTTCTGGGGGTGGGCAGGAGGAGGGAGGCCTGGTCCTGCTCTCCCCACTCAGGGGGCAGCTGAGGACACACTGAGGAGGAAGATGCTGCTGCTGCTGCTGCTGCTGCTCCTGGGGCCCAGTACGAGCCTCGTCCTGTGGGTGTCCTGGCCAGGGGGAGGGTGTCCCAAGAGAGAAGTGGAGCCAGAGATGGGGGCTGAGCTGGGCTGATAAAGTAGAGGGGTGTCCAGGCCTGTGGAGAAGGCAGCAGGCCCAGGGCCTGGTTCTGATCCCAGGAGTCTGACGGGAGGTTCTCAGCACACAGGATTCCCTGCAGTCGGGAGCAGGCGAGGCGGGCCAAGTTCTCTGCCCTGGGCCTGTCTCTGGGGCTGCTGGCCTGGCTCATCCCTGACTCTGTGTCTGCAGGCTCCGGGCTGGGGGCTCAGGTGACTCAGCAGCCCAGGAGGGCGATCAGCTGGAACGGGAGCTCCGTGGAAATCCAGTGCAGCAGTGTGGGTCTTCAGTACCCAGTTATGTTCTGGTATCAACAGTTCCCGAACCAGGGCCTCACACTGATGGCAACTTCTAATGCGGGGTCCAAATCCAAACCCACCTACGAGCAAGGCTTTTTCCAGAGCAGATTTGTCATCAAGCGACCCAACGACACCTATTCAAGTCTGACAGTGAAGAGTGAGCAGCCTGGAGACAGCGGCTTCTACCTGTGCGCTGCGAGTGACACAGAGCTGGGCAGAGAGCAGGGACCCTGACAAGAACCGGCACAGGCCGTCACCCCGCCCCGGAGCCATGGGAGGAAGTGGGGGACAGACCACAGCCCCTGTGCTGAAACACCTGGGAGGGCGTGTGTGTGTGTGTGTGTGTGTGTGTGTGTGTGTGACAGAGAGAGAGAGAGAGAGAGAGAGACAGAGACAGAAACAGAGACAGAGAGAATAGCCCAGGTTAGACTGGCTGAAACGTGTGCTTTATTAGCACGTGCTTACTCTTACTCATTCTAGAACCACCCTGGTGTCTCCTCTCCTGGCGCCTGTGCAGGTATGAAGAACGCCAGGACCGTGGTGGAAACAGAAGTGGATAAATTTGACTGGAATTTAGTGAATTGGCCTGATGCCCAAAGACTGCTCAGGAGATTGAAGTCATGTCACATTTTTCAATGTTTCCATCACGCACCAAAAGCTGGGCACCCCGTAAAGGGCTTATTATCATTTCCTTTAGGAGCAACTTCAGAAACTCAGAGGCAGAGGAACGCAGGGTCTCTTCTGACGTGTGCACCCTGAAGTCCACCCCAGGCTGCGGCAGCCCTGACACTCCCTGGGCTTTTGTCATTTGATTTTCTAAAATGATATCTTCACTCTGCTCCCTCCTGGTCTGCCCTGGGGGGGACGTGGGTCAGCCCACTCTGAGGGGAGTAGGGGGAGCCTCACACCAGGGGGGAGGGAGTGGGAGAGCCCTGGACTCGCCTGAGCAGCGCTGGAGGAGGGTGTTACCATCAGTCCTTTCAAGATTTGAAGCACCAGGCACCTGACCAACAGGGACAGGCCTGGAATGAATGGCTCTGAGGGAGGGGAAAAGCAAGAGGAGGGGAGAAGCGGCCTCTCGCAAGGAGAGAGTGAAAGGAAGCTGAAGAAAGGGGGGAACCGAGGGTCCTGCCAAACCCAAGAAAATCACCACACGAGGGAAGCCGCTGCCAGGCTGCTGTGGCCAGACAAAGGCACTGAGGTGTCCAGATGTTGCCAGAACGAGAGAACATGTGCCACTAACCTGGCTGGATTCTTAAACAGCCCAATATTGCAAAAATAAACAATAACATAGCAGAATACACTGAGAACCCTTTGTCTTCATCCTGCTCCCCCATCAAAACCATCACGAGTCACAGAAAAGGTCAGTCTCTCTCCAAATGCATTAAATAAGCAGAAGCTTCCCAGCAGAGGCAACATTGTCCTCAACAGGAGAGCTAAACAGAAATGGTAAAAACAGGGAGAAATGGGGAGAAACTGAACTCAGGAAAGAATGAAAGAAAAAGAGAAAAGACTCTCAGAAATGAAGGGAAAGATATACACACCAAGGAGGGCCTACCCTTGTGGCGCAGGAGGTTGGGGGCTGCACTGTGAAGCTGTCCACAGCCTCTGCAGCTCTGGCTTGATCCCGGCGACCGGCGAGGGTCCCACATGGCGCCGCAGACCTCTCCTGTCTCACCCGCTGCTCCCCTCAGCAGTGTATTTCAGTCAGTCTGCCTGCTCTGCTCCCTGCTCTGTCTCTGCTGAATCCTCTCACCCTCCCGCGCATCTGGTCGTACCCCAGCTCTTCTATAAATAAATAAATAAATCTTCAGGAAAAAAAGGAGGAATTCTGTCACATTGAAGTTAGTCAGGGCATAAAAGAAAGGCAGGGAAACAGCAAGAGAATGGAAATGGCAGGATGAGGATGCACCTGCCAGAGAAGGTGGTGGGCAGGGGGTGGTGGGGCAGGTGGATGTGGGGACCTGAGCTGCAGGCAGGTGGATGGGGGCCCCAGCACTGCCACTCTCTCCTGCCCAGGCCCCAGAGAGAGTTAAGGGGTTGACACAAAGCCAGATCTCCTATGACCAGCTGGGCTCCTGGTCTGCAGGAATTGAATGTTACAACAACAGGACGGTGTCCACAGCCAGTCCAGTAACTCTTGGACACAGGGGAACTGGGAAGTCTGCTCCAGAGTCTTCAGCGCCCTGTGCACCAGCCACACTCCAGGGATGGGTGGGGCAGGCGCTGTGTGCAGTGGCAGAAGGGAACTAGGGCAGCAGGCGGCAGAGACACTCTTGTCCTTGGTTCCGTGGGCATCACTGAAGGGTCCTGACCCTCTGCTGTCCACAACCAGCTGTGGATGATTGTGCGGCCACTCACCACACAGGTGAGCCCGTCCTGTGTCATTTCTATGATGTGTGGCTCAGTGTCTCTTCTGTGACATGAGCTAAGGGACAGCATCTCCCAGGCCCTTCAGCAATGTGAGGGACTTTCAATTCAGAGGCAGGGACCCTGTCATTGACAACAACCCCACCAGGGGGCAGGACAGAGCAGCTGAGGCTCTGGATCACCCCACCTTCTGGGGGGCAGGAGGAGGGAGGCCTGGTTCTGCTCTCCCCACTCAGGGGGCAGCTGAGGACCCAGTGAGGATGCTGTTGCTGCTGCTGCTGCTCCTGGGGCCCAGTACGAGCCTCGTCCTGTGGGCGGCCTGGCGGAGGGGAGGGTGTCCCAGGAGGGAAGTGGAGCCAGAGATGGGGGCTGAGCTGGGCTGATCTAGGTGGAGGGGTGTCTGGCCTGTGGAGAAGGCCGCGGGCCCGGGGCCTGGTTCTGATCCCAGGAGTCTGACGGGAGGTTCTCAGCACACAGGATTCCCTGCAGCTGGGATGAGGTGAAGCGGGCCGAGCTCTCTGGGGCTACGGGTTTTGGAACATCCCTGACTCTGTGTCCGCAGGCTCCGGGCTGGGGGCTCAGGTGACTCAGCAGCCCAGGAGGGCGATCAGCTGGAACGGGAGCTCTGTGGAGATCCAGTGCAGCAGTGTGGGCCTTCAGATCCCAGTTATGTTCTGGTATCAGCAGTTCCCGAACCAGGGCCTCACACTGATGGCAACTTCTAATGCGGGGTCCCAGTCCAAACCCACCTATGAGCAAGGCTTTTCCCAGAGCAGGTTTGTCATCAAGAGGACAAGTGATACCTCTTCAAGTGTGACAGTGAAGAGTGTGCAGCCTGGAGACAGCGGCTTCTACCTGTGTGCTGCGAGTGACACAGAGCTGGGCAGAGAGCAGGGACCCTGACAAGAACCAGCACAGTCCCTCACCCGCCCTGGAGCCATGGGAGGAAGTGGGGGACAGACCACAACCCCTGTGCTGAGACACCTGGGAGGGCATGTGTGTGTGTGTGTGTGTGTGTGTGAGACAGTGACAGAGAGAGACAGAGACAGAGACAGAGAACAGCCCAGGTTAGACTGGCTGAAACGTGTGCTTTATTAACACGTGCTTGCTCTTACTCATTCTGGAACCACCCTGGTGTCTCCTCTCCTGGCGCCTGTGCAGGTATGAAGAACGCCAGGACCGTGGTGGAAACAAGTCCATAAATTTGACAGGAATTTAGTAAGTTGGCCTGATGCCCAAAGACTGCTCAGGAGATTGAAGTCATGTCACATTTTTCAATGTTTCCATCACGCAACAAAAGTTGGGCACCCCGTAAAGTGCTTATTTTCATTTCCTTTAGGAGCAACTTCAGAAACTCAGAGGCAGAGGAACGCAGGGTCACTTCTGACGTGTGCACCCTGAAGTCCACCCCAGGCTGAGGCAGCCCTGACACTCCCTGGGCTTTTGTCATTTGATTTTCTAAAATGATATCTTCACTCTGCTCCCTCCTGGTCTGCCCTGGGGGGCACCTGGGTCAGCCCACTCTGAGGGGAGTAGGGGGAGCCTCACACCAGGGGGGAGGGAGTGGGAGAGCCCTGGACTCGCCTGAGCAGCGCTGGAGGAGGGTGTTACCATCAGTCCTTTCAAGATTTGAAGCATCAGGCACCTGACCAACAGGGACAGGCCTGGAATGAATGGCTCTGAGGGAGGGGGAAAGCAAGAGGAGGGGAGAAGCGGCCTCTCGCAAGGAGAGAGTGAAAGGAAGCAGAAGAAAGAGGGGAACCGAGGGTCCTGCCAAACCCAAGAAAATCACCACACGAGGGAAGCCGCTGCCAGGCTGCTGTGGCCAGACAAAGGCACTGAGGTGTCCAGATGTTGCCAGAACGAGAGAAAATGTGCCACTAACCTGGCTGGATTCTTAAACAGCCCAATACCGCAACAATAAACAATAACATAGCAGAATACACTGAGAACCCTTTGTCCTCATCCTGCTCCCCCATCAAAACCATCACGAGTCACAGAAAAGGTCAGTCTCTCTCCAATGGATGAAATAAGCAGAAGCTTCCCAGCAGAGGCAACATTGTCCTCAACAGGAGAGCTAAACAGAAATGGTAAAAACAGGGAGAAATGGGGAGAAACTGAACTCAGGAAAGAATGAAAGAAAAAGAGAAAATGTAACAGGGTGGTCCCCAGGAAAGGAAATCACGTTGGGCGCCAAATCTGTTATAGGACAGGGAGAGGGGCAGCCCAAACTCCGTAAACTTGTTTATTTTAAATGGGTTTTGTCATCTGTCGCATTAACACAAAATATATAAGACTTTAATGGGAAGGAAATTTAATTAAACTAGGAAACAATACAGGTAAGCAAAGAGTTTAGTTTTTAATTGAAGCACCCAAAGTTAACCGTCCCCTCGTGGGTAAAACTTTATTTATATGGGAATGCCCCAGAGCAAGGCCCCAAAGCCTGCCACAAGTCTAAAGTATTTTTTAGTGGGGACCCACAGAAAAGGGTCAGAAGCAACCAGACAAACCCAGAAGGAAAAGAGCAAAATTAACATTAAAATAAAAGTTGTCATTGTCACCTCCTCACGGGTCTCACCCACATCTGTGTCACTTAGTTTACGACCAAAAGACAAGCACAGTTTCTTCACGTGTTTTTAGGCTCCATGAGCCTCTTCTAGGTCTCCTGGCTCCATCCTGCTCTTTTTTTCCTCAGTCTCTTTTGTCGCTTCTCCTCTTCTTGTTCAGCTCTACCCTCCCTTGGGTGGGGCAGGGAAACTCCCCCTTTCCTGGGGACCACCCTGTTACAAAAAGACTCTCTCAGAAATGAACGGCAAGGAGTACACACCAAGGGGGGCCTCCCCTGGTGGTGCAGGCGGTTGAGCGCTGTGCTGTGAAGCTGTCCGCAGCCTCTGCAGCTTGGCTCAATCCCAGAGGCCGGCGAGGGTTCCACATGGCGCAGCAGACCTCTCCTGTCACACCCGCTGCTGCCCTCAGCAGTGTGTTTAGTCTGCCTGCTCTGCTCCCTGCTCTGCCTCTGGTGAATCCTCTCACCCTCCCACGCATCTGGTCTATACCCCAGTTCTTATATAAATAAATAAATCTTTTTTTTTAAAAAAGGAGGAATTCTGTCACATTGAAGTTAGTCAGGGCATAAAAGAAAGGCAGGGAAACAGCAAGAAAATGGAAATGGCAGGACGAGGATGCACCTGCCAGAGAAGGTGGTGGGCAGGTGGTGGTGGGGCAGGTGGATGTGGGGACCTGAGCTCTAGGCAGGTGGATGGGGGCCCCAGCACTGCCATTCTCTCCTGCCCAGGCCCAGGGGGGCACTCGCTGAGAGAGTTAAGGGGTTAACACAAAGCGAGTTCTCCTATGGCCAGCTGGGCTCATGCTCTGTGGGAAATGAATGTTACAACAACAGGACGGTGCCCACAGGCCAGTCCAGTAACTCCTGGACACGGGGGACATGGGAAGTCCACTCCAGAGTCCTCAGCCCCCTGTGCACCAGGCACACTCCAGGGATGGGTGGGGCAGGTGCTGTGTGCAGTGGCAGAAGGAACTAGGGCTGCAGGCAGCAGAGACTCTTTTCCCTGGTTCCCTGGGCATCACTGAAGGATCCTGACCCTCTGCTGTTCACACACCAGCTGTGCATGACTGTGCGGCCACTCACCACACAGATGACCCCGTCCTGTGTCATTTCTGGGATGTCTGTCTCGGTGTCTCTTCTGTGACATGAGCTGAGGGGCAGCATCTCCCAGGCCCTTCAGCAATGTGAGGCACTTTCAGTTCAGGGGCAGGGACGCTGTTATTGGCAACGACCGCACCAGGGGGCAGGACAGAGCAGCTGAGGCTCTGGAGCACCCCACCTTCTGGGGGTGGGCAAGAGGAGGGAGGCCTGGTCCTGCTCTCCCCATTCAGGGGGCAGCTGAGGACACACTGAGGAGGATGCTGCTGCTGCTGCTGCTGCTGCTGGGGCCCAGTACGAGCCTCGTCCTGTGGGCGGCCTGGTGGGGATGAGGGTGTCCCAGGAGAGAAGTGGAGCCAGAGATGGGGGCTGAGCTGGGCTGATCAAAGTGGAGGGGCGTCGGGGTCTGTGGAGAAGGCAGCGGGCCCGGGGCCTGGTTCTGATCCCAGGAGTCTGACGGGAGGTTCTCAGCACACAGGATTCCCTGCAGCTGGGAGGAGGCGAGGCGGGGCGAGCTCTCTGCCCTGGGCCTGTCTCTGGGGCTGCTGGCCTGGCTCATCCCTGACTCTGTGTCCGCAGGCTCCGGGCTGGAGGCTCAGGTGAATCAGAAGCCCAGGAGGGCGATCAGCTGGAACGGGAGCTCCGTGGAGATCCACTGCAGGCCAGAGGGTTTTCAGAGCACAACCATGTACTGGTATCAACAGTTCCCGAATCAGGGCCTCACACTGATGGCAACTTGTAATGTGGAGGAGTACAGTCCCACCTATGAGCAAGGTGTTCACAAGGACAGGTTTCACATCTCCCATCCCAATTCGACCTTTGGAAATCTGAAGGTGATGAGTGTGCAGCCTGAAGACAGCGGCTTCTACCTGTGCGCTGCGAGAGACACAGAGCTGGGCAGAGAGCAGGGACCCCGACAAGAACCAGCACAGCCCCTTACCCCGCCCCTCGGAGCTGTGGGAGGAAGTGGGGGACAGACCACAGCCCCTGTGCTGAGACACCTGGGAAGGGGTGTGTGAGTGAGAGAGCGATGGAGACAGAGAACACACAACCAAGTGTCCTGCCCAACTCGGTTGTCTCTTTACCCCACACTGTGCTGCCTCTTATTCCCTCTGGAATAATCTGGTTTTGTCCTGCCTGGCATCCTGCAGGTATGTGGGTGACAGGACTGTGCTGTGCCTGGGCCAGCTCCCCGCCCCCCTCTCTCCCACAGGCTCCTGGAGGGCAGCATCACTCAGACCCCAATCTCTAGTCTCTGGCCCTTTGGCACAATTGTGAGCCCATCAGAGTATCTCTAGAGTCTGCAGCAGAGTTGCATAAATAGTGAGGAATTTAGAAAATAGCTTGAATCTCAGAAAACGGATCTTAGCTACGAGTCACCCAACTTTTACATCCCAGTGATTATTTTGCCATTATTTTCTCATCACTCAGCAAATATTGGGCACCTACAAACCTTGTTTCTTTCCTTTGCTTTGAGGAATAATCTCAGAAAACCCCAAGTCCGAGGAAGCAGGGTCACTTCTAACACGGGGCTCAGCAAGGCCGTCCTGCGGGTGAGTGAGCCCTGTCACGTGCTGAGCTTCCTGGCTGTATTTTCTGCCAAATTTCCTGGCTCTGGTCAGCCCTTGTGCCCTGGAAGAGTTGGGACCGGGGAACCTGCAGGAGGACTGAGGAGTCACCCCTGGAGACGCAGGGCCCAGCATAGAGCAACCTGCCTGCTTACCTGTCCCTGCAGCAGCCACCCGCAGGCAGAGCAAAGGGGAGTGTCACCTCCCCACAGGCCTGAGACACTGAGCCAGCGGCTTGAGTTAAAGGGGCTCCTCTCAGCCTGGAGAGGGAACCCGGGAGAGGTGGGACAGAGAAAGAAAAGGAGTGACAGAAAGAAACAGTGGCCACAAGGGATGAGAAATTCAGATGCCGAGAGAAGGAAAACTCCTGTGGCCCGACGAGAAGGTCAGGGACGGCGGGAAGCACGAGAGAGTGGGAAGGAGTGGATGGAGTAGGTCCCGCGTCTGGGTGGTGGAGCAGGCTGTCCTGGGAGGCAGGTGGGTGCAGGCCCTGGGCTCAGGCAGGCTGAGGGCCCAGGCCTGCAGACACTCCTGCAGGGGCCAGGTCTCCCCCGGGAGAGTTAAGGCTTAAAAAGAAGCCAGGTTCTCCTATGGCCCGCGCTGCGGTGGAGGAACTGATGCTGCCACCACAGGAAGGTGCCCACAGCCAGGCCAGTGGCTCTGGCCTGATAGGCTGGGAGCTTGCCTGGGGAGGCAGGGTTTCAGGAGGGAGGCCCAGGGAACATGTGATCAGGTGTCTGGCCCCTTTGGCACAATCCCATCAGAGGATCTCTGGAGTCTGCCCATTATCCATCAGCCTCTGACAAACCAGAATATTTTTTTTAATTTAAATGTTATTTTTGTATTCCCCATACAATTGCAACCCCCTTATTTTGACCCAAGCCCCCCTTTCCCCGCCCCCCCCCCCATAGAGTGTCTCTGGTTCATAGTTGCTTGTTGATTTCGGTATTTTCTTTCCTATAGTTATTCTTTTTCCTGGTGTCTTATTTAACTTTTCTAGATTCCTGCTATGAGTGAGACCATCCGGTATTTTTCTTTTTCTTTCTGGCTTATTTCGCTGAGCATGATCCCTTCCAGCGCCATCCATGTTGCTGCAAATTGCATGTGTTTATCTTTTTTGAATGCAGAGTAATATTCCATGGTGTATATGGACCACATCTTCTTGATCCAGTCATCTATTTTTGGGCATTTGGGTTGTTTCTAAAGCTTAGCTATTGTAAACAGTGCTGCTATAAACATAGGGGTGCAGGTGTTCTTTGGGATTGATGTTTCTGTGTCCTTGGGTAAATACCTAGGAGTGGAATTGCTGGATCCTATGGAAGCTCTATGTTTAGTAGGTCCAGAAATCTCCACACAGCTCTTATAGTGGTTGGACCAGTTTGCACTCCCACCAACAGTGCAGAGAGTTCCTTTTTCTCCACAACCTCACCAACATTTGTTGTTTCTAGTTTTTTTAATACGTGCCATTCTCACTGGTGTGAGAGGGTATCTCATGGTAGTTTTGATTTGCATTTCCCTGATGACAAGTGATGTTGAACATTTTTTCATATGCCTGTTGGCCATTTGCATTTCCTCTTCAGAGAAGTTTCTTTTTAGCTCTTCTGCCCATTTTTTGACTGGATTATTTTCTTTGTTTTGTTGAGTCTCATCAGCTCTTTGTAGATTTTTGTGATCATCCTTTATCATTAGTGTTGTGTGCAAAAATGTTCTCCCAGTTGGTGGGTTTTCTCTTTGTTTTTGTTATTGTCTCTTTTGCTGTGCAGAAGCTCTTTAATTTGATGTAGTCCCAGCTGTTTATCTTTGCCTTCACTGTCACTGCTTTGGGTGATGTGTCTGTAAAGATGTCTTTGATGTGCAAATCACATAGTGTTTCGCCTATATTTCCTTCTATATATTTTATGGTTTCAGGTATTATGTCTAGTTCTTTAATCCATTTTGAGCTGATTTTTGTGTATGGTGTGAGGTAGTGGTCAAGCTTCATTCTTTTGCATGTAGCGACCCAGTTTTCCCAGCACCATTTATTGAACAAACTTTCTTTGCTCCAATGCATAGTCTTTGCTCCTTTGTAAAAGATTAGTTGACCATAAATCTGTGGGTTTATTTCTGTATTTTTTTTAAAGATTTATTTTTATTTATTTATTTATTTTATTTATTTATACAAGCACTGGGTACAGTCAGAAGCGCGGGAGCGTGAGAGAATTCACCATAGCCAGAGCAGGGAGCAGAGCAGGCAGAAGGACCGAAGTACACTGCTGAGGGGAGTAGCAGGTGGCAGGGGAGGTCTGCAAGTCATGTGGGACCCTCCTCCGGTGGCAGGGGAGCAGCCGGGGATCAAACCGGTGCTGCAGAGGATGCGGGCAGCTTCGCAACCCAGTGCTCAACCGCTGCGCCACCGGGGAGGCCCTATTTCTGGATTTTCTATTCAATTCCATTGGTTTGTGTGTCTGTTTTTGTCCCAATGCCATGCAGTTTTGATGATTATGGCTTTGTAGTATATTTTGAAGTCTGGGAGTGTGATATCTCCATTCCCTTCTTTTTTTTTTCAGGAGAGCTTTGGCTATTGGGGGTTTTTGGTGGTTCCATATGAATTTCATCAAGAATTGTTCTACTTCTTTGAAGAATGACATTGAAATTTCTAATGGAATAGCATTGAATCTGTATATTGCTTTTGCTAGGATGGTCATTTTAATAATGTTTAATCTTCCAATCCATGAGCAGGGGCTGTATTTCCATTTCTTGTGTCTTCTTCTATTTCTTTTAACAGTTGACAAACCAGAATATTAAGCCAGGGGATCCCCAGGGCTGTGTCTTCCAAAAAGTCACGGGAGATATACCAGACACCATTCCTGCCATGGCCAACCAGCTGTCTGCTCGTGGCCCTTGGTGTCCTATGGGCAGGTGCGTGCTGGTCCAGGGGCACAGTCCTGTCCTGGGGGCCTGGCTCCTGATCCCAGCCCCACCTGGGCCAGCTCCCAGCTACCCCTATCTCCCACAGGCCCCCGGCGGCGGAATAACTCTAGCCCCAAATACCTGCTCAGCGGGGAAGGATGAGCCATGACCTGCAGCGTGAACAGGATTGGGGTCATAACGCCATGTACTGGTACCGCCAGGACGCAGGGCACAGGCTGAGACTCGTCTACCACTCGCCAGTCAGAAAGCACATTCAGAAAGGGGACATGCCTAAAGTCTACATGCCTCTTGGGACCAGAAGCGGGCCTTCCCCCTCACTCTCACCTCCACCAGCAGAGCCAGGGCGCCCTTTATCTCTGCACCAGCAGTGCAGGCACAGGGACGGGCAGCCGCTGCCTTGCTGCTCATGAACAGGTCCCAGGCCTCTCCCCGCAGGTGCAGGTCCTTCTGCAGTCAGGCCCAGCTGCTGCCCCCTCCTCAGCCCACACCCAGGGCCGCCTGGGCCCAGCCTGTGTGGATCGCCGGGACTGAGCCAGGACACTAGATTTCAAATGTCCACATATTCCTTCTCCTCTCCCTACTCTGTGTCCATCATGTAGCCGGCTAGCACGTGTCTCTCTGAAAAAAAGCAGAAAAGGAAGAGAAGAAACGTTAATTTCACAACCTAGACTTTCTTGAACACTCCCCATTAGAAAAATATTTAAAAGGAAATGGTTGCTGCCTTCAGAAAATATTAACGCCCAGTGGGGAGAGGCTTAAGCAGAGGCAAATGCCGAAATGAGGGGTGTGTAGCCAGGAAACACCGCGGCCTGTTCTGTGGACAGGAGAGGACACAGAGAAGCCAAATGTGAGGTGAGTTGATGGAGAGCCAAGGTAAGCATGGACCAGGCTGGAGAGAGGACATAGGGCTGGGACGGGGTAGGGGCTGCGGTGGTGGGGTCACAATAGAAGTAGTGTTGAGCCCCCTCACCCTACAGTAGGAGGAGGACGTGTGCAGGATCATGGACCAAGTCACCCACAAGTGGCTGGCCTGGTGGCCTCCCTGGACATCCCAGTGGACACTTAGAGCTGCCGGGAATCAGGGAGACTGTGGGCTGGAGACCAGCATTCCAGGACCTTCCACAGACCAGGGGTTGTTTAATTTGCAAGTGGGCTGTCTGGTGTCCTGTACTTTCTCCCTTTCTCTCAGCACCTGCTGAGGGAGGACAAGCATAGACAGACCTGAAAGGAGGTGCCCAAGATCAGAACCTGACCACAAGGAGGTGGGGGTTGAGGGGAATAACATGACCATTAACCCAGCTGGAAAGTTCAGGACCCTCAGGCACCAGAGCCTTTTCACAAGGAGGAGACCCAAGCAGGATGAGATGCTCTGGGGAGTGGAGACAGACTTGAGGGTAAAGATATGGAGATTGGGCCCAGCCTGGAATCTCAGGTCCCTTGTGGATTCTGCATGGTTATCCAACGTCAGCGACAAACTGAAGGCGAACTTGAGAGACCCCTCCCGAAGAGACGAGGACTGTATCAGGGCAGTCTCTGCAAGGGCTCTGGGCAGCACTTCCACAGCCCACCTGTGCCCATGCAGGTGCCTCTTCTTACCAACTCTCCTCTGCAAGACAACAGCCTTCCTGCCTGCCTGTGACCTGTACCTGCCGGGACTTCACCTCATTGACCTCAGCGGAGGCCGCTTTCCTCAAGGCCGCCCTCCTGCAGCCATGCAGGCCTCTCTCAGCAAAACCTGTTCCTTTCGCTTCCCTAATAAACCTGCTCTTTAAATATAACTCCCGTCCCTGTCTCGTGGAGAAACTCGCTGGGAAACTCGCCGAGTGCAGCTAAACAGGAGTTCTGGGGACACCTTTCCCAGAGTGACCCCAAGGACCTGCACTAACTCCAAATACCACATCATTTCTATGCAACTAGAAGGGAAGTGGTGTTAATTCTTAGAAATTTGCCATTATGAATATTCACTTACAACATTCTGTTTTGTTTGAATGAATTGAATGAATTGGATGAAGCATATTGTTCCCACTCGCCCTCCAAAGGCATAAAGGGAAATACTGGGTGAAATACCTTTCACTGTATCACTGCAAGCATTGCAGAACCCCAAGTCCCCTGTTTTGGGATCCTTAGTCTCCTGGGAAATGTGGGGTGCCCAACCACCACACACAGACTCTGTTCTAGATCCTTCCTGAATTCTGTGTTGGTTCCTGCTTTTTCCTCCCACAGGTTCCTTGGAACTGATTCACAGAGACTGATCTAGGCAGAGACACTGACCTTGCGGGGCTGGGAGCATTGCTCTGGGGTTGAGCCAGTCAGCCGCATTCCCCTTCACTTCCTGACACAGTGAGGACACCGGGGGCATTGAGATGGTGGCCTGCGCGTGTCCTGCCTGTTCACAGAAGCCTCCAGAACATGCTACCTGAGAAAGATGTCGCAGTCTAGGACCTGGGGCCGGGAAGGGCATCCAGGGCCCTCAGCCCCCTGTGCACCAGCCACACTCCAGGGATGGGTGGGGCAGGCGCTGTGTGCAGTGGCAGAAGGAACTAGGGCAGCAGGCGGCAGAGACACTCTTGTCCTTGGTTCCGTGGGCATCACTGAAGGATCCTGACCCTCTCCTGTCCACACACCAGCTGTGGATGACTGTGCAGCCACTCACCACACAGATGAGCCCGTCCTGTGTCATTTCTGGGATGTCTACCTTGTGTCTCTTCTGCAGCATGAGCTGAGGGGCCGCATCTCCCAGGCCCTTCACCAATGTGAGGGGCTTTCAGTTCAGAGTCAGGGACCCTGTCATTGGCAATGCCGCCACCAGGCGGCAGGACAGAGCAGCTGAGGCTCTGGAGCACCCCACCTTCTGGGGGTGGGCAGGAGGAGGGAGGCCTGGTCCTGCTCTCCCCACTCAGGGGGCAGCTGAGGACACACTGAGGAGGATGCTGCTGCTGCTGCTGCTCCTGGGGCCCAGTACGAGCCTCATCCTGTGGGTGGCCTGGCGGGGGGGTGGCGGGAGGGGAGGGTGTCCAAGGAGAGAAGTGGAGCCAGAGATGGGGACTGAGCTGGGCTGATCAAAGTAGGGGAGTCCAGGCCTGTGGAGAAGGCGGCGTGCCCGGGGCCTGGTTCTGATCCCAGGGTTCTGACGGGAGGGTCTCAGCACACAGGATTCCCTGCAGCCGGGAGCAGGCGAGGCGGGCGAGCTCTCTGCCCTGGGCCTGTCTCTGGGGCTGCTGGCCTGGCTCATCCCTGACTCTGTGTCTGCAGGCTCCGGGCTGGGGGCTCAGGTGACTCAGCAGCCCAGGAGGGCGATCAGCTGGAACCGGAGCTCCGTGGAGATCAGATGCAGCTGTGAGGGTTTTACAACCCCAGTGATGTTCTGGTATCGACAGTTCCCGAACCAGGGCATCAAAGCCATGGCGATTTCTAATAGTGAAAACGATGTCACCTACGAGAAAGATGTAAACAAGACTAAGTTTGACATCAAACGTCCAAATAAGACCTTTTCAAAACTGACGGTGAAGAGTGTGCAGCCTGAAGACGGCGGCTTCTACCTGTGTGCTGTGAGAGACACAGAGCTGCGCAGAGATTAGGGACCCCAACAAGAACCAGCACCGCTCCTCACCCCCTCGCAAACCTTGGGAGGAAGTGGGGGACAGACCACAGCCCCTGTGTTGTGACACCTGGGAGGGCGTGTGTGTGAGAGAGAGGAAGAGAGAGAGAGAGAGACAGAAAGAAAGAGTTTGTAACGGTAGGTCAGACGGGAGAAGAGAGAGTGTGAGGATGGGTTGAGGGTGTGGTGTGGGCAGCGGTGCTGTGAGAAGTGGAATATGTGAATCAGGGGACTCTACAGCAGCCCCTGACATGGAAGACGCCCAGACTGGAACTTTCTAAACTCAGATT